TTAATTCAACTTATTTTCAACTAAAAAATGATGTAGAATTAAAATATTAAAGGGAAACTAAGAATTATTTGATATTTTTAAATGAAAGACATATTTTTAATTCAAACCACAGACCAGACCAGACCAGACCAGACTGTGATTCAAACTGATATTCATAATTCGCATGAATTATAAATATCAACTTGAATTTTTAATTCAACTTATTTTCAACTAAAAAATTATGTAGAATTAAAATATTAAAGGGAAACTAAGAATTATTTGATATTTTTAAATGAAAGACATATTTTTAATTCCCACAGTTTGGACACTCCTGGTAATTTTGACGGTTCAATTTATCTACTACAGTAGGTATATTTGCTTTAATCTCAGTTAAATTATTTTGCGGCACTGTTTGTTTATATAATACCGTTTTTATTAATAATAGGCATAATAATTAATATTAATTAAATTACCTAATATTTTAAATATTTACACAGGTATTCTCATAAATCGTTAAGTATACTTGACCTATAGGTCAACTGAGTCAGTTGAACTACTACAAATTTGACAATGCGAGAATTTCCCGCCGGGAAACCTAACCTTCTTTATCTCCCTAGATAAAACTATCTAGGTTTATCTCTGCCGAAAACGAAGCTAAAATTGTTGGTATATTTACTACATAGGTAAGTATTAATAAAAACGTTATTATATAAACAAAAATAATTGAACTGAGATTAAGGCAAATATACCTACTGTAGTAGATAAATTGAACCGTCAACATTACCAGGGGTGTCCAAACTGTGGGAATTAAAAATATGTCTGTCATTTAAAAATATCAAATAATTCTTAGTTTCCCTTTAATATTTTAATTCTACATCATTTTTTAGTTGAAAATAAGTTGAATTAAAAATTCAAGTTGATAATTATAATTCATGCGAATTATGAATATCAGTTTGAATTAAAAATTAACTTGAATTTTCTGGTCACTTTGATATCGATAATTCCTGTGAATTACAAATATCACTTTGAATTAAAAATTGACTTGAATTTTAGGGTCACTTTGATATTTTTAATTCCACATTATTTTTGAGTTTAAAATTAGTTGAATTATAAATATTGTTTAAAACAGTTGACACAATTAATTGTAATTACAAATATGACTATTAGTTGAAGTTACAACAAAAATTCCTGATTAAAAAATATTTTGGCGTTAACGGAACGCCAAAGTACTTTTTAATACCTATAATTTTAAATATCTGAAATTAATTTCAGTGATATTAGAAATTCCTGATTAAAAAATACAACGGCGTTCCATAAAGAATTATAACATTTGTATCAAAAAATACTTATTATATTTATAAATTAAGCATAGTGTATATTTTATTTGAGGGTGCTCGCATTTAAAATAATGTGATAGTTTTTCTTGAAATAAAAATAAGTTTACCCTTGCACCTAACATTGAAATTATATCCAAATAAGTATAGGTTAGTTCTTGAATTCAACTGCCTAGTTAAATCCTTCCAATAAGTATTATAACATAGTAAAAAACAGATTTATAAAGCGCATCTTTAGTTTGTAGTGAATTAAATTTAATAATTTTTTCTATGTACTTCCGGCTACTTGTGAATCATGCCATAATAATTCATAATAAACTTGGACACTCGAGTGTAGTACAACACCACACTGTATTATTATATAATTTGAGCGGCAATTTAAAAATAGCTGTCAATTATTCGGAGTAACTTTGATTTACAGCCAAAAAACTTGACCCCGTTTGAAAAATTCCTTTTCAGTATTAAGTTCATTAAGCTCATATTGTTGGGTAACAGCTTTACGTTTTTTTTCCAAACAATATTATTTTGATTACGTTTTAATAAATTTATGGCCTTATGCGGCACTTATATTAAGTTTTCCAAACACCTGCTAAACTTCAACCCCACGCCAGTGTTACCATCCTTGCACCACGAAAGTTCATAAAATATTACGCTCCAGAGATTATTAAAAACCGTACGCTGTCCTAGGAGCAATGCATCTTCAAATTTATGATGCCATTAAAAACTATGGGACGCCGAACCTTTGAACTTGTTCCATCAAACGATTTTTAATTTAAATCTTAAACTTTTTGAAAGAATTTTTAATACAGAGACAATAATCTATATTAAACAATATTCAGGTAAATAATCATAAAAAGGTTAATTTATTTTTGTGTTATTTTATCTTAGATTTTATCTAGGTACTTCAAAAGTCATTCAATGAGTACCTATTGTATTAAAAAAATATTATATAAGTATTTTTATCTGGTCAGATAACATTACTATATGAAAAAGTACCTAATTTACTTTGCACATATTTGTCATAAAAAAACATTTTAAAAATGATTTATCTCTAAAAGCTAAACACTGCAAAGTACAGCTTAGCAAATGCAAAACGCAAATGCAAAATACCCCCACTCCCTTTCAAGGCGTTCGGTTTACTTTTCGCGTAAAAACACGTACCTTTATCATATACCGTATTTGTCGACTGGTGCAATTATGAGATAATAAACATGTTGTTGTACCTATATACGTGGAAATTATGTTGAAAAAAAATGCACAAACAACAAGGTCAAGTGCAGTTCATCGCAATCTTCTATTGTAGGTACCTGTCTACTAAAACGTTTTTATTTAATCATTTTTACAACTAGGTACAATTTGTTTAAGTGACTGAACCATTCTTGCTTTATTGCCGACTTAAGGGGACGTCTCACTGTATAGAGCCTCTTATTGTTTTATAGCAAAATGTTCAATATTTTATTCTCAACAAAAACTTCTATATTAAATTTATCCTGATAATTGTAAGGTTTTGAATGCTTTTCAATAAATATAAAAGTGCATTAAATACCTATTATCAATTTAATAATACAAAACCTATTTATTGTACATTCAAATTAAATGTAATTATTTTACAATAGATTTTATTTTATAATTAAAAAAAATTAAATAATTATTGTTACTTGAAATTTAAAATACTTTTCCTTATATCTATCTATCCATGAAATAATTATTTAAATGTAATGACTTTTTTACTGCCTCAAACCTACAATGGTTTTAAATAAACAAATATACCTAGGTAGGTATTTAGGCTTAGTTAATTAATTAAGTTCTTTGACAGCCTTTATAAAAAATCTTATTAGAATCTTGAATTAATTCAAAAACTATTTTATTTATAAGAGCATCTTAAATTGCACTTTCATATTACTTTTAATTTTTTTAATATGCACGCAATTTCTCCTTTTAAATAATTAATTAATTATAAGATAGGTATGTACTTAGGTAAGACTTGTTATACATACCCAGGTACTTATAACAGGTTGTGTAACGAGTATGAATGAAACTTACCTGCTAAGGTGAACCTATCCATGTAATTAATTAAGTTGATGAAGCACAATATCGCAACTGCGACCCAGTCTTTCAATTTAACATCCCTAAGTCTTTCGGGGGCACTATTGTCGCCCTCGTCGTTTGTATCGGGTCGCACCAACTCAGCACTGGAGTTATTTTGCGTGATAATATCGGTATCCATCGTTTTGAACTGCTTTAACACTAGCTGAGAGCCTTTTTCTATTTTTTCAGAGGGCATCTTGCACTGGGTAACCTAACCTTACTGCATATGCCGCTGGAATGAACACAAATTCGTAACTTGGCCATGTTGGCGCGTCGCGAATGCGCATGCCCAGAATCACCTGATGAATGAACTTTTACTTCCTTTGGTTTGGGTGTTGGAATCGAGATTTATTTCCTTACGACTTTTTTACATTCAATTCCCATCACTTTGGAACGAACCGCAATGTTTTTATCACTTTTTATACGGTAAAAAAACCAAGCAACCAAAAAATAAAGCAGCTGTCAGATTGGTGACTTACGTATGCTTGGCATTACAGGGATCTGCAATTTACGGCGATTACACTACCGACAGATTTTTTCGCACCGCACTCGAAAATACAAAATATAACGCAATAATAAAAAATAATTAACTATTTACAATAAACAAACCTCAATACATTATTCTAAAAAAATATATACGTAGTATAAACGCAGTTTAACATATTTAATACGATTACACGACAAACCTAAAACGACGAAATGAAACGATTTTTATTTTCTTTATAGTATGTACATGGTATGTATTTATTATTTGTAGTTATACACATATTAGTTAACTAAAATGCAATAAATATCTTATATAATATAATAAACATCACACAAAAGTGCAAAATCTGATAGGCTACACTATATTGTTAAGTATAGCTCTAATAATAACAGTTATTGTATATAATTATTTTTGATTAGATTAAAAATTAACATGTTTGTGTAAGGTTAAGTTTAAAGTAGGTAAAAATATACGGACTAAAGCTTTAAATCAACAATTACACTGTAAAATTAATAAAATAAAAATATAATTGTTTTTTTTATAAAATAGATCACGTATGAAGCTAGACATTTCTTAGGAATATAATATTCGGGAGAGGGGGTATTCAGACCATATATCACAATATTTTAACTCTGAAACAATTTATGAAAGCTGTGAATAAATTTAAAACATCAATATTTTATTTTTCTATGTTTTAAAACCCAGTTTATTTAATCAATTTTGTACTAACAACAATTCAACATTCATAGCTAAGTCTAAGGTTTATTTTTTATGAAATTTGACAGATGTAGCTGTCAAATGCCATTAAAAATGTCAACTGAACTGGGTTATTAAGAAATGGTTTATTATAGTTTAACATCAGATTCAAATTGCAAGATTGCTAACAATAATTATTCCCAGTAGATGGTATTCTTATTACTATTTATAAAAGAACAGTCTATAGGTATTTTATTCCTATTTATATTATTTAGGTAACTCGAATAATTTTTTTAATTGGTCAAAAATTGTACTCAAGATTTGATTTCAATCGTAAAAAATCGCCCACCTGGGAATGTGGTATTTAAAAAATATAATCAACAATAAACTGTCAAATAATAATATTAAAAGTTATTATGCAAGTCAAAAGTTAAGAATACCCAGTTTACAAAGTTATTTTACTATTTGTTTTGTTGAAAACAGCCTTTAAGCGTTATATGAAGTGGATTAGGCAACCAACTACGCACGCGCAGACGCATTTCATACTTATTGCTTTCAGCATCGCTTTTATCGTACAGTGTTGCCAGGTAGGTATAACGTAGGATCTCCAGAAATGTCTTGGGGTTGTATTTAGTTTAAATGTTTTGACAGCTCATTGACAATATTAAGGTGGTGGGTTTTGTTCAAATTTTGACGCTGTTATGCCAAATAACAAACTTGGCAACACTGTCGAAAAATATTCACGTCAATGTCAACCCTGGTCTCGTATCGCATGCGACTGCGCATAACAAAAGGCGGTGTGCCTCGTTAAAGGTGGGTACACATTAGGATGCTTTCCCGCCTTTATTCTGCCGGTGCTTTCTACTCTCACCGTTGCTATGGTAATGATGGTTGTTGTTGTTGTGCGATCTTCGACCTTGTGGCTGTTGATATTGTTGCGGTTGTTGACAGGCGCTCCCAGTTGCCGCGTCTGGCGTTTGGAGATTTGGCAACGCGGCGGCGTCTCCTACGGGAACCTGGTTTTTACTGCCGCCCTGCCAGTAGCTTTGCGAGTGTAGAGGGGGGAACCAGTTGCCCCTGAAGTGGTTGTTGCCACCACCGTGTCCCCTATGATGTCTATAAACAAAAAAAATTGAGAAATATTTACGAAAATATTGATTGTTTACCTATGATTTCCCCTGTTTTGTCCCTGACCGCCCCTAGAGTTGCCGTGGTAGTTCCCACCACCGCCGCCGTTGTTTTCTCTCGAGCTCGCTGGATTGGGCGATCTGTCCTCCCCTCCACCGCTATTACCACCAGCGCCCCCGCCGCCATTCGCGTTGTTATGATGGTGGTGGTGGTGGGGGTGGAACTGCTGCTGCTGCTGCTGCGCTGCTTGCGCCACCGCCTGCGTCTCTCTGCGCAGGTCTGAATTTTCCCTGCGCAGCCTACGTATGATGGCCTCGGCGTCGTCCAGTTTGCGCAGCAGTTCTGGATCCGGTTGACAGGCTCGTTCGCGTTCTTTCTCGCGGTCCCGTTCGTACCTTTCCAGCTTCCTAAAAAAGTAAATTATAAAATAAATTAAATAAATGAATTAAATGAAATAAATGAAATACATGAAATTAATGAAATAATTGTAATAAATGAGATAAATGAAATAAATGAAATACCTGAAATTAATGAAATAAATGAAATACATGAAATAAATTAAATACATGAAATTAATGAAATAAATTAAATACATGAAATTAATAAAATAATGAAATAATTGTAATAAATGAGATGAAATAAATGAAATAAATGAAATACATGAAATTAATGAAATAAATGAAATAAATGAAATACATGAAATTAATGAAATAAATGAAATAATTGTAATAAATGAGATAAATAAAATGAAATACATGAAATGAATGAAATAAATAAAATACATGAAATAAATGTAATAAATTAAATAATTGTAATAAATGAGATAAATGAAATAAATGAAGTAAATGAAATAAGTGAAATAAATAAAATAAATGTAATAAATGAAATAAATGAAATACATGAAATAAATGAAATACATGAAGTATATGAAATAAATAAAATAAATAAAATAAATGTAATACATGAAATTAATAAAATAAATTAAATACATGAAATAAATGAAATACATGAAATTAATGAAATAAATGAAGTAAATGAAATAAGTGAAATAAATAAAATAAATGTAATACATGAAATAAATGAAATAAATAAAATAATTATAATAAATGAGATAAATTAAATAAATGAAATACATGAAATTAATGAAATAAATAAAATAAATGTAATAAATGAAATACACGAAATTAATTAAATAAATGAAGTAAATGAAATAAGTGAAATAAATGAAATAAATAAAATAAATGTAATAAATGAAATAAATGAAATAATTGTAATAAATGAGATAAATTAAATAAATGCGATAAATTAAATAATGCATGAAATACATGAAATATATGAAATAAATAAAATAAATGTAATAAATAAAATACATGAAATTAATGAAATAAATGAAATAATTGTAATAAATGAGATAAATAAAATGAAATAAATGAAATACATGAAATAAATGAAATATATAAAATAAATTAAATACATGAAATAAATGAAATACATTAAATTAATGAAATAAATGAAGTAAATGAAATAAGTGAAATAAATGAAATAAATAAAATAAATGTAATAAATGAAATAAATGAAATACATGAAATTAATGAAATAAATGAAATAATTGTAATAAATGAAATACATGAAATTAATGAAATAAATGACATAAATGAAATGAAATAAATGTAATAAATGAGATAAATGAAATACATGAAATTAATTAAATAAATGAAATAAATGCAATAATCATTTAAATGAGATAAATAAAATGAAATAAATAAAATAAATGAAATAAATTAAAAAAAATTAAAAAAAATTGTATTAATACGCAGAATGAGGTATTCTTACTTTTTTTGTTCATCGGTTATGGCTGATAGGTAGACGTTGCGACTTTCAGCTTCCTGCAGCTGCAGCTTCAAGTCTCCCAACTCCTTTTCCAACAGTTCCACTTGCAACGGTGTGATGTTGAAGGTTTTTGGACTGTTGTACGTCTAAAAGTGTCATTGTAGTCACAAAAAATATTTTTTATCTTCGAGAAATCGTCGCAAATTTTACCTTGTATCTGGATTCATCTTCGGGCGACGAAGGAGTGCTGGGCACTGCACCTTTCACAAAAACCAGTTGAAACTGCAGCTCTAAAATCACATTTTAGTTTAACTTTTGATAAATTAACCACAGCTTTATATATATGCCTAGTGGTTGTGAGTTAAGAAGAGTTAACAAAGTTGTAAATAATTATTGTTCCACAACTCCTAAAACAGTCCCCTGTCATTTAATTAATTTGGCAAGCATCTATAGGTTTTATCAGTTAAATTTAACTAACATAAGGTGCCACTTGGGTAAAAATCGTACCTTTGTTTCTGTTCCTTAAACTCTCGATTTCGTTGTGCAGTCCGCTAAGCATCAACTGGTGTTGTTCTTGCAGAAAGCGGATGTTCTGCTCCAGCTGCGCCACTCTTGAGGCCTCCTGCGTCTTGGGACCATCCAGATTTTTGAAGGAAAGCTCTGGAGTCCTAGACACAGCCACAACCTCGCCATTAACGTTGCCCAAGCTCGTTTTATTCACCTACGAGTTAAAAAATACTGTCAATCGAGTTTTAGTTCTTTCTTAGTGATTATGACGTGTGAAACTGGCTTACCCCGTTGACCTGGGCGAAAGGCTGGACGGGCAACTTAGCAATCACTTTAGAGGCCATAACCCAGCAATTTGGAAACGAAAGCTGTTTATTAATAAAAAAAATGACGCTCCGACTTGCACAGTCGGCTCAGGCGTAAACAAAAGACGATCGAGCAGGTTGCATGGGTGTTTGGATCGTCAAGATGCCGGCGGTGCGCGACTGTCAACTGTTTCTGCAGAGGGTTGCTCGATGAAACTCTATCCAACCGAGCTGTTACCGGTTTAAGTTGCCGAATTGAGTTGTTTTTTTATTGTTACGCGCTTTATTTGCGGTATTTTCGACTGTGATTCACACCTCGCGAATTTATTGATCGGTTACGACGCGTCGCGACGGACATGCTCCAAACTACCCTCGAGAAAAGGGTGGGGGGATAAAGTTGCCTATCTTTGGTTTTGAAGTTTGGCACAAAATTTGATTTAAGTATAATTTGCTTAGGCTACGAATACATTAAATTTCTTTTAAATATTAACCCATCCTTAAATTAATAAGATTTTATTTCTTAGCTTAGAAAAGTTTATAAACGAGGTGCATACTATACTTTTTCTACGACAAATACTTATTATTATCTTAAAATGATTTAAATCAAAAATTTGTATAGAGCGCCATCTATGAAACAATAGGGGAATCTGTGTGTCACCGTCAAATGTCACATTTTTACATTTTATAAACACAGATTATAAAGGTCATAAATCGAAATGTATTTCTTGAAAATTGTCAGTTTTTTACAGTGAAAGTAAAGAAAATGTTTTATGAGCACTTTACAGTGTAGTCCGTGCCCGAATTTAAGTTATATAAACTTTTCAAATATTGGCGTTGAAAAACTATTTAATACTTTTGTATTTTTGTATTGAGATAATAAAATAATTTTCACATTTAGTATTATTTTACAAGAAAGGCACTTTATTTTAACGATTTTATGACATTTGACAACTGTAAACTAACTTAAAACTAACTTCAGCCCGTGACTAAAAACCTGTTGCTAACTTCAGCCCCGGCTAAAGCGCCATAAAGCCACAACTTGTCAAAGTGTATTTAAAAGGTCACTTAGTGTCATGGAAATATGTACAATAAAAGGCGTTTTAAAGGTGGGAGTAAAAAAAATAATATATTAGTTTTTCTTGAAATAAGAATAAGTTTACCCTTGCACCTAACATTGAAATTATATCCTAATAAGTATAGGTTAGTTCCTAATTTAAATTCCAAATAGATATCTAGTTTCTTCCAATAGAACGCGAATGTAAAACACCCTGTACAAAAGGTTGTACTTACCACAACTTTTCCTAATACTTGGGCCCCATTTTCGGAAATAGTCGGGGATAAAGGGGGCAATATTATGGTATTTAAAGGCACCTTTCTGTCGACTAAAGAAGTGCTTCTGGAGATCCTCAATTTCATTCTTTTTTTCTATGATTATTTCAAAATTATTGTCACTAAACCACTAACTGCGTCAGCTTATCCCAGTAAAAATGTTAATAAATGATTTAAACATTGATAAAATGTCACTCTACTACTACTAATCGACTATTATATTGGAAACACCATCCCTCTCTGATACAATGAATTTCCTATATCCATCCCTTTTCTATCTTCATTGGCCAGGAAGTATTGGTTGACTTGTTAAAGTCGTCACCATGGTAACTTGGTCAGCTGTCGTTTAAAAAACGTAAATACCAACAGAGGGGTTGTCACGTTTGAAGGTTCAGTGTGTTTTTCGTAATTGTGTTATAATTTTTTAATGTTTTATTTTTGAGTTTACATGGAAGGACTTAAAAGTGTACGTATACGAATTTTGCTACTTGACTAAGTATTTAACGGTGATTTTTGTAGACAATCCTCAAGCAAGACATAGCTTTAGCGAAAAAACTTCAAAATGTTGGGAATTGGAAGAAAAGACTCAACTTCAACGATGATGAGTTAAGAGAGCGCCAAAAGAGCAAATTCCATGGCCACCCGAGGGCAATCGACGAATCTGAAGAAGAATCTGATCCATCACCACCCACACCATCTTCAAGTGTGTCTTCAATAAACGCCAATTTGTTCAAGGAAGAAATAATCAGACAGGTACAGTTACCATGTTCTAATGAATTGGTCCATCACGTGCTTTTTTAGGCACTAAACGGCAACCAAATGGTCAAAGACTTCTCTGTTATGCTCAACCAGGAGCAAAATCATGACTACGTTTCCCCCAAAAATGATCTAATATTTGGGGGCGACAACCTGGACTTTCTGCAAAATTACAACAAATCCATGAAGGACATAAGAACCAAGAAGTATGTGGACTCGGCAATCGAAATGAAAACCTCGGAGAACAGGCGGAGTAAGGTGCGCGTTTTCGAAGAAAAAAACAGGCGCAAATTGAAGATCGACAACAGAAAGTGCAGCAACGTGCAGAAGAACGACATCATCGACTCCCTCTTCGATAAGAAGTTTAAGTTGGTGGTCGAAAAAATTCTGCATGGTTTGAACGATGTACTGTAAGTCTGCCAAATTTTCGAAAAAAAATTAAAATCGAGAGATCGCTTTGATTTTTAGCTTGATCTTGGAAAAAGGTACTCCTGAAGCTGATGGTGAAGAGGATTACGTCAAGAGGTTCGATAGGGTGAAAGGTTTTTCGTCGAGGTTCGTCATGAATTACCTTTATCCGTTGGAACAACAGGTAGTTTGGTTGCACCAATACAAAATTGTTTTGCAAAACAAAGAATGAGTAAAGTTACAAATGAGTATGTACTATGCTGCACATCTCAAAGTCCCACGTACGGAACGCAGTCTTTTAAAAATTTGGCATTTAAGGCTTTTCAGGTTATGTATCTGTCAAAGTATAGTCAACGAAAGAAATAATATTATGTTTAGGCGTAAAAATGTATAAATCTTAATAACATTACAATAACAATGGATGGTTTAAGAATTTAGGAATATAAACACTGCATTTAATGAAAATCTAAAGTGTATGGTGCCAAATAAGTAATATTTTTGTGTATTTGGTCCAAATATCTGATTTTCTCCATAAAATAATTTTAACTAAACAGCATTCATTAAAAAAAATCTAACTTCTCTATTAAGGAAGAAGAATATCTGTATTAAAGGTAGGTTAATATATTACAACAAAAATATCATCTAATTTTGTAATTTTAAGGTTGGAAAAATTTATTTTGACCAAAATAAATAAGTATTTTGGATTATTTAAAAGGCAGTACAATATGGTATTTAAAAATGTTGTAGTTTTTCTTATCCAGCTTAAAGTGTACCTACATAAAGTTTTGTCAATACAAACAGTTAAAAAGCTTCGACTGAATTTGATCTACATCGAAAAATCATTATAACTTTAATATTTTAATAAATCACATGTCATGGGAGTATTAAATATTTTCACATTGCAAGTTTCTCTAAAATTTGTTTGTTTTCTTATAATATAACTTAAAGTAGGTATGCCGAGAGGTATGCACAAGTTTTGTCGTTAGAAGTATAAGAGCTTCAATTTAATTTGAACCATATTCAACAATTATTTAGTATACCTAGTATATTTATTTATGACCATATTAACACACTCTTCCAAATAATCCACTTATTTATTTTGGTCAAAATAGATTTTTCTAACCTTAAAATACAAAATTAGATGATATTTTTTGTTTTAATACATTAAACCTACCTTTGATACAGATATTCTTATTTCATAATAGAGAAGTTAGAGTTTTTTAAATAAATCCTGTATAGTTAAAACTATTTTATGGAGAAATGTAGACCCAATGCACAAAAATATCACTTATATTGCACCTTACACTTTGGAATTTCATTAAATGCAGTATTTATATTTCTAAATTTTTAAACCAACCAGTGTTATTGTGATACTATAAAGATTTATTAACTTTTAACGCTTAAACATAAGCGGTAACACTATAAATATTATTTCTTTCGTTGACTATACTTTGACAGATACATAACCTGAAAAGCCTTAAATGCCAAATTTTCAAAAGACTGCGTTCCGTACGTGGTCACGTGGTGGGACTTTGAGGTGTGGAGCATAGTACCAATACAAATTATAATACAGTTTGAGTAATCTTCCAAGACTTGTTGGGAAATGTACTAAGATAAATTATAATTTTACAATCTATATGTATAAATCCTACACGCATTGTAATTTTACTAAACAGTTTGATAATGGTGCGTAAAAAAATACTAAAGATATGTTTAGTAAAATTACAGTGTAGGAATATTAATTCTTATATTGTACATTTATTGGCAAAACTTTTTAACCTGATATGCTAGGTAGCTAATTTGTATTTTTGCAGTTGAAATATTTCGAGCATGGAAAACCTCAAACCCCCAATCAAAAATTGATAACCTGCTACCATTTGGTTTGCCAAGGGGTGCAGTCGTACCACAACCACCTACCCACATCTGTGGGAAAATGTGCCTTTGAAAAGATGATTTCTCTTATGTCAGATTTGATAAAAATCTGCGATATCCATGTGGGCCTGATAGAGAATTTAGATGAAAGTATATCTCAGGAATACATTTATGTAATATTAATACTACTTACAAATTTTGTTGTTGTTGTTTGTAATGTGTTGATTTTAGAGCCTTAAAAAGAAGGCTGAACAACTCATACCCAAATTGACAGAAATATTTCGCTCCAAATCCAATGAGAGTTTACTGAAATCAAACAACACTAGAACGAGTTTGGTGTCAAAAAACGCAAAAAGTACAAAAAATAATAAAAATAGGAAGTTCCAAAATCGATATGCAATGTATTCATCATCAAATTTCTACAGAAAGGATGTTGCCTTCAAAAAGGCTATGGACCAAGTATCAAAAAAAAAGTAAATGCTGTAAATAAAAAATTGATTTTTGATTCCAAATTGTATCCCTATAGGTTCGATGTAAAATCTAAATACAAGACGGCAACGTTTAAGCACAGACCACCAGTGGAAAAAATTGAGGAAACCAATGGTAACATTTTCCAAAATCCAAAATCGTTTTTCGCCAAAAGATCCTCCAGTATAATTCGATCCAGTCCAGTTTTGAGTGCTAGAATTGACGATACTGTCAAAACCCAAATTGAGGTCGAGACTCTGCAACCTCACACCACGCCCAACGACAGTAAGGAGGTAAGTTTAAAAAATTTTTTTATGTTCTTTCGTTTATTATTTTTCGTGATATTTAATAAAACTAAATGTGATAATTAAGTAGATATTAAAGGTCAGGTTCCTGATTTTTAACCGAAATTAATTATTTTTTACAATGTTTTAAAAATCTAAAACCTATACTCCGTGACTGTTACTCTTTCTAGGTTTACCTATACGTTTATAATAAATAATTGTTGAATATGGTTCAAATTAAAATGAAGCTTTTATACTTCTAATAACAAAACTTCTCATACCTCTTGGCATACCTACTTAAGTTAGATTATAAGAAAACAAACAATTTTTAGAGAAACTTGCAATGTGAAAATATTTAATACTCCCATGGCATGTGATTTATTAAAATTTTTAAAGTTATAATGATTTTTCTATGTAGATCAAGTTCAGTCGAAGCTTTTTAACTATTTGTATCGACAAAACTTTATGTAGGTACACTTTAAGCTGGATAAGAAAAACTACCACATTTTTAAATACCATATTATACAGTCTTTTAAATAATCCAAAATACTTATTTATTTTGGTCAAAATTAATTTTTCTAACCTTAAAATTACAAAATTAGATGATATTTTTGTTATAATATATTAACCTACCTTTAAAACAGATATTCTTATTCCATAATAGAGAAGCTAGATTTTTTTGATGATGATGTTTAGTTAAAATTATTTTATGGAGAAAACCAGATAAGTATTTGGACCTAATGCACAAAAATATTACTTATTTGGCCCCATACACTTTAGAATTTCATTAAATGCAGTATTTATATTCTTAAATTCTTAAACCATCCATTTTTATTGTAATGTTATAAAGATTTATACATTTTTAACGCCTAAACATAATATTATTTCTTTCGATGACTATACTTTGACAGATACATAACCTGAAAAGCCTTAAATGCCAAATTTTCAAAAGACTGCGTTCCGTACGTGGTCACGTGGTGGGACTTTAAGGTGTGGAGCATAGTACAATTGTATTTTTTAAAAATATTAAGGTCTCAAAAGAAACAATAACTTATTTCAAATATACAAAAAACATACGAAATCCTAACCTCCGTGAAGCTCTAATATTCAAAATGTATGATTTCTTAAAATTCTTGCATTAGTGCAGAACCACTTATGTTATGTTATTACTAGACCTGGTGGCTTCCCAAAAGCCCCATTCTAGACTAACAGTGAAACAAGCAAAAATAAAAAATAATCATTTTCACTTAGGGGACATCTCAATATATTCATCCATATTAACATTACACTGAACACTTTAACTAAAAGTTTTTACATCTAGTAGTAAAACCAAAACATTAAAAACTATAAAAAACCGAATATTTCAATGAATTTGTTCCACACTTTTGCAGGTCACACTGTATAATGATAATGGTCGAATTTATAATAAAACGATTTTGTTAATAAATAATTTATTGAAAATTTAGCAGGTACAACAACATAGATAAAATATACACTAATAAAGCTGAAAAATGAATAAATGCGAAATTTTTTTAAATTAAAAAAAGCTTAACATTTGACGCACTGTGGTTTTTCTCCAACCATTTTGTAAGACTGGTCCTTCATTATGGGTTTCTCGCATTTCTGAAAGAACACAAAAAATTATCATTTTGCATTATTTTTTTTTATTAAATTAATCAATGAATAACAATATGTGTGTGCCATAACCTTTATTTGTTCATGTAATTAACAGCAAAGCATTTGGTGTACATTTGTAAAAAAATACTGTAATATATAATGTCATAATAAATATAGAATGTGTCTAGCTTAAGCTTTTTGGTGCCCCTGTAGTTATAAATGTAACATTTAGTTGCATTTGACGCAAGCGGGCTTGTCCCCCTCCATTCTGTACGACTGATCCTTCATGATTGGTTTTTGGCATTTCTGAAAAAAAAATAAACATAAGGAAATTTGTTTTGTTGTCATAAATTTACTAAACAACAAAAAACACTGCGCATGTGTTACTTAGGTAGAATATATTGTCAGTGTAATGATTTTTCAAACACCCTGTATGGTTTACGTGTAAATTGTTTTGTGTAAAATGTTAGTACTTAGTAGAAAAAAATATCATACTTTTATTTACATACTTGGAAAAAAAAGTGGGTAAACTTGGACTTACCAAATCCAAAGTCTTTAATTTTTATTTAATACTACATTTTCAATACTAGTTTTTTTAAATTTTAACATCTAACACAAAAGGCTTTTCCCTCTATCAGCTGATAGTGTGAATCTTTTAAAAATGGTTTATCGCATTTCTGTAAAGAAAGAGAATACACTTAGTATAGGTAGTTTTTTTCATACGAATTTTTTTAATTTGATACGTGCAAATTTTGTATTGTTAAAAACATTAAAAACATGCATCTGCCTATGGGTTTAAATCTAATACAACAACAAAACCATTTATAAATAATACTTACTAGAAAATAAAAATTAATATAATAAATAGTGTATACAAAAACATTCACTTTAACTAAAAAAATAAATACAAAGGGGTAAAAAACGTATATAAAGGATAAGTAAAAAAATCATTATTGTTTCCGTTGACCTATTTACAGGGGTCACAATTTCAATTTGAAAAAATGCCACTTCCGGTTTAACCAGTGGAACACGAATGTGAAACACCCTGTATATAGGTCAAAGTTATCAAAATGAGGGTTTTATTTTTGTTCCTGCATAATTATCATATTACCCACATAGAAAAAACGATATGGCTTTCTTTGAAATACTCTAATTAATAGTCTTGGTAATCTGCCAGAAATCTATTAATAAAAATTACAAATTTCTGTGTGGATTGTGAGTTTATCTATGGCGATTTAAAGTCAACAATGTTTTTTTTGTAATAGAGTAGGTACTCTAGTTTTCAAGTGTGCGCTATTACACGATATCTATAAATACTTTATAAATTATTAAAGTGGGAGATGGAGAGGTAGAGTTTGTAAGAAAAATGGGTGCCCAATTTGTTGATGTTGATACTTACTGCGCATCTGAAGCACATTTGATGCCACTTGGCGTCCAAAGCCACGATGGCCTTGTCAGCGATCGGTTTGCTACACCCCTTGCAGCGGGAGGCGTGTTTCTCGGTGTAGCACTTGGTGCAGAAGGGTTTGCCTTCCACCTCCATGAACTTGGTGCCGATCAACTTGGTCTTGCAGTCACCGCAGACGAAGTGGTCCTCGTGCCAGTGGGCTCCCATGGCTTGCAGAACTTTCTGCACACAGAAACAAGATGTATAGCTATAGATACGGCTTCAAACGATGTTTTATCATGCGCATAACACCAACTTACATCGGTGATGGGTTCGCCACAATCATTGCACTTCTCGCAATGCTTTTCGGCGAAGCACTTGTCGCAAACAGGTTTGTCTTCGTGCGTGTGGAACTTAGCTTCGGTTATTTGGTTTTTGCAATCCTTGCAGCAAAAGTGCTCGGGGTGCCAAGACTTGCCGAGAGCTGTTAGAATCTAAAAGGTCGGGTTAGCGGGAAGCATTAGTAAAACCAACACACATCAAAACTCATTAGTTGTTAATACATGTACGTATCAATATGTTAATTGTGTGGGTACTTACACCAGCGGTGATGGTCTCCTTGCAGGCAGCGCATGTTTTGGGGTCTGAACCAGCGGAACTCTGCAACGAACAAAAAAGTTTGAATTTGCCGCTACAAACAATACATTTCGATACAAACAAAGCACACAACATACCATAATTTTTTTACGAAGGCACTGTCAACGTGAAGTTTCAGTTGCGAAGCGACCAAACCTACTGCACTACCCAGACTAACCATAAACTCGATATTGATCCTCCAATTCTATTTTCAGAACATTAGTCATGACCAAATACAGACGAAACTGCTCCAACTGGTACAAAACAATTCGGATGTGAAATGCTCTAGCCAAGAGGAAAGTAGAGAAGTAAAATGGGTCATACTTTATCCAGCACCGTATCAAATCGATTTTTTTTAGGTCAGGGATATGCTTCACGAATACTTCCGCAACAAGGAGGGCAAGCAGATTCTGCAAGAATTGGCAGACGAGCTTCAGAAGGAACACGCTGAATGCAGCGAGAATATCGAGAGGAAGCTATCGAAGACCAAGTTGGATGTTGTGGAAAATAAGACTCCAGATACAGCAAGATCAAAGAAAGAGTAAGTTAAACCTTGGGGTGTAATTATCATTAAAATGATACAGGAAAGTTTTGATCGTCGATAAAATAACATCGACATAAAAAATTTGGGATTTTATCCACAGGGTGTTCAAAAATTAGGAATTAGAGTTCCTTTTTTTTGAAATTTTTTGTAAGATTGAGTTGTTTGTCATTAAAACAAACTCCGAATACAAACATTACGACGAAAATTATAAAATTGATTTTTCCAGCACCGAGTTTATATACAGGGTGATTCACCCAACTTCTTCATTAGCAATGTAAACAATTTTGACAGATGGATGGTCTTACTAATATGTGTGTATTACCACTAATTGTAATGTTAATTTTATACAGGGTGTCTAGTACCTACACTCACAGGCAAAATAATCGATCCACTCAAATTTTCGATGAATTTCAATCGCAAATAACTTTTTTATTTGATTTCGGATTTAAACAAATATTAAAGAATATTGTAGATAAATTAATGGACAATCGCTAACATTTTAAAAAATTACTAAAAAATAGACGTACGTTTATAATATACAGAATTAAACAAAAAGATGTTGTTTACCATAAGTTTAAGACACTCTGAAGAGTGGCAAAACCATATATTGTTCTAAATTAAGTTTTATTTATCAAGTCTCATCTATTCTTAACAGTTTTGTTTTTGGTTCACCTCGATATATTTATTTTTGTGAAAATATGGATTTAAAAAAAAATTGCAATTTCCAATATTTTTCTGTATAAAGAACTAAGGTTGCTATGGTCCATCCATAGGCTATGGAGAATGAAAGTGACAGTTTTGTTGAATCATCCCATACTTGGACATGTCATACACGGCTTTCAAAAGCTATCAAATTGTTTTTTGTCATTTAATGTTTCAATTTTAAGGTGTCTTCTTACTTTTAAAAATGGATATGTCTCCGACTGATGTTGCCAGAGCCATTAATTTAATCCAGGATGGACGGTCACAGTATTACGTGGCAAGTGTTTTAAACGTCACAAGAAGTAAAGTACAAAGGGCAACATCAGTCGGAGACATTTTTAAAAGTAAGACGACACCTCAAAATTAACACATTAATTTACAAAAAACAATTTGAAAGCTTTTGAAAGATGTATATGACATGTCCAAGTATGGGATGATTCAACAAACCTGTCACTGTCATTCTCCATAGCCTATGGATGGACCATAGCAACCTTAGTTCTTCATACAGGAAAATATTGAAAATTGCAATGTTTTTTTTTTAATCCATATTTTCCATAAAAATAAATATATCAAGGTGAACCAAAAACAAAACTGTTAAAAATAGATGTGACTTGATAAATAAAATAATAATTTAGAACAATATACGGTTTTGCCACTCTACAGAGTGTCTTAAACTTATGGTAAAAAACATCTTTTTGTTTAAACCTGTATATTATAAACGTACGTGTATTTTTTAGTAATTTTTAAAATGTGAGCGATTCTCCATTAATGTATTTACAATATTCTTTAATATTTGTTTAAATCCGAAATCAAATAAAAAAGTTATTTGCGATTAAAATTCATCGAAAATTTGTGTGGATCGATTATTTTGCCTGTGAGTGTATTTACACAAATTAAATGTATGTTAGGATAATCCCCTTTTTACCAAAGTAGGACAGTAGAGCAATAAAGGCACGTGTGCCTACTAAGCAAAACAATCTGGGCACAGCTTAGAAATCGAATGGTAACGCAGAGTCCGCAGAACATTTGTAGAAGTCGAATCATAGCAGTTTAATAAATTTAGTTAAAAAGTAATAAATAATAAGTGAAGCCCCATCAAATTAGTTTTATTCAGGGTAAAATACCCTGATGTTTTACATCAGAAGTGGGATAGTGATTTCCATGTACAATAATTAGTTTAGTTAAGTTAAATTAAGTTAATTTATAATAAACAAAAGCAGACAAAGAGTGAGTGCATCAAGATGGCAGATGAGTTATCTAGAGTTGAAAATGACAATTTATGTGGTGATGATTTAGATGCAGAAGAAATTTTACAACCTCCAACCCCAAAACGCGTCAAAATGTGGCAAGAAACTTTAATAAATTTAGTTGTGACGCAACAGCAACAACTTGCTGAGTTAGCAAATCAAACAAAGATGGCAATGTCCCAAGCACCTCTGGCAAGGACCACACCTAGTTCATCTGACGAAAATGCGCATGCGTCTTCATCAAGACATGTGTACTCTTTCCATGTCACAAGCTACGATCCCGATAAAAGTGCCTATTCAATCAAAGATTGGTTGGATGATGTCACCCAGCTTAAAAGGGAACTAAATGTAAGTGACATTGTAATGATCTCAAAAGCAGGAGATGCACTGAAACGTCGAGCATACAAATACTTTTGTGATTGGAGACCCATTTCCCGAACTTGGGAAAACTTTTGTAATGACCTAACTGTAGCATTTCCTGATCGAGAAACACCAGGAACACGAGCATATACTGCAGCAACTCTTAGCAGTCGTGATTGCGAATCATTGTGTGATTATGGTAATAAAAAAATAAGTGCAATAAAAAAATTTCACGATGAACTGCCATGGGATACCATTCTGGCATGGTAGAATATAATTTAAATAATGCAGAGGCGCAATCAGCAATTAGAATTTAGAAGCCTAGTACAGAACGCGAACTAATGAAATTGTTGAGTGAATACGATGCACGCCGAATCAGCAGTTCTTCTGGAATAATGGAACACAAGCTTGGAAGACACCGAAAAGATCAACGGGATTCAAAAAGTTTTTGTGCACAAAAAGAAACAAAGGTTTTTAAAGGAGTCTGTTTTAAGTGCGGTCAACAAGGACATCAGCAAAGCTCATGCCGTAGTGTGCGTAAAGAAAACCCCCGAAAAGAAGTTGTTTCTGCCAATAAAAGCGAATTGTCAATTGTTCCTACTTGTGCGCATTGTAAAAAAATGGGTCATATGGAAATAAACTGTTGGTATAAAAGTGGAAAACCAAAAAAAAGCATTGATACTTAAAAAATGACGTCAACTGAATTTAACACCAATAGCAACAGTGCTCGGTAAAGACAATGCAGTATCATGTAGTTATGTTATTGATAGCGGTGCCGATGTGTCAATCATCAAACGCTCTCTTGTAAACACATTGAACGGTATCTTTAAGCCGAACGAAAAAGTGCACGCGTTGACAGGATTTGGGAACCAAATTGTTTATGCTCTAGGAATGTGTGAACTAATAACTGTGTTGTCGACCGTGACCTTAGAAATTTGTTTTATTGTTGTGCTGGATGAAATAATTCCAAGTGATATTGACATTATTATTGGATGGGCGCGATAATTTTGTCGACGCAGACAAGGCCGTCGAAGACGCTCGAAATCGAATGAACTTTAATGCAAACAAACAATTTTTACGATTTAACGCTACTCGATGCTCTACAAAATTGTTTATTCCTGGTGACGTTGTAGCCATTGAAGATTCACAAATTGCTGGTGGAGGCAAATTAAAACCAAAATATAGAGGACCTTATACTGTTCGACAGGTGTTACTAAATGAGAGATATGTTCTGCACAAGAGGACCACAGTTGCTGCCCTTGAACAGCTGAGGCCGTGGCCAAAGGAATAAAAAAATGTAAGTCCTGTATTTAATAATAATAATAAAAAGACAAGATAGTAGCAATCCTACTATGCTTGGGAGGTGACTAAACATCTCGGTGAAAGTGGCAATCCCACTGTTGAGGATGGCAAACCCATCCGACAAAAAAAAAAGACAAGATAGTAGCAGTCCTATTATGCTTGGGAGGTGACTAAACACCTCGGTGAAAGTGGCAATCCCACTGTTGAGGATGGCAACCCATCCGACAAAAAAAAAAAAAAACAAGATAGTAGCAATACCATCCGACTTTAAATTAGTTTTAATTTAGTTATATTTCAACTTTAAAAACAAAAATCTGTTTCGGTTTTTTTCTTTTTGCAGAAATAAAAAAAAAAGAAAAGGAAAAACGGCGCGAGGACGCTCCGAAAACAGGATGGCCGTGTTAGGATAATCCCCTTTTTACCAAAGTAGGACAGTAGAGCAATAAAGGCACGTGTGCCTACTAAGCAAAACAATCTGGGCACAGCTTAGAAATCGAATGGTAACGCAGAGTCCGCAGAACATTTGTAGAAGTCGAATCATAGCAGTTTAATAAATTTAGTTAAAAAGTAATAAATAATAAGTGAAGCCCCATCAAATTAGTTTTATTCAGGGTAAAATACCCTGATGTTTTACATGTATATTCGATATTCTTTGAAAAAACAAAAATATTTTGTTTTCATTTTGTAAACCTAATTTTATAACACACTGTATAATAATTACTAACAATTAAAGACTATTTAAATCATAGAACAAAGTTTATGACATTTGGAAACATTAAATTTGTATCATCATAATGATTAATCTGAAATGTAAATGATGCCAAATAATGTACAGTATGATATCCAATATTGTGCCAATTAATTATTAAATAATTTTAATTAAAACTAAACTTTTAGTTCAAACAGTTGCTTACATAATTCCCGTAAAGGAAAACTGATTATTATTATTTTTATCACGTACTAAAATCATAATATTATTTATAACTCATTGCTTATTAATTGTCATATTGTTACCTTTTTAGTTTAGTTTCACAAGTCTATTTTCGTCAATGCATCTATAAGCAGTGAACAAAAATAGAATATGCACTTTCATTTGGAAAAAACAGCTTTCAAAAAATGTAAAAAAAATCAAAAATATTGAACTTTAATTTGGATAACCGCCAATTTTTTACACCTGTTTCAAGCAAATATTTACATATCTTTCTTGTTCTAATTTTAGAATGTATGCAGTTGTTTACTTGATTTTTTGTAATTGAGACGATATTATATATTTTCGTATTATATTGCCAACAGTTACTTCAAAAGATGAATATTTATTTTAACAAACAAGATATAAGTATACATTGGTAGTGGGCTTATATTGTAGATAATGTTTGAAATAATAAAAGTGTTTATTTTTCTATGTGGATAAGAATTGTTGTGGTTTAATATTACTAATTTGTCATGTTGTTAATGATTCAAATTGTTTGTTTAATTATTATAATAAAAATAATTATTAATGGATTTTTTGGTTTCATAAGTTATATACACTGTATATAACTTATGAAACCAAAAAATCCATTAATAATATATATTATATATTATACAGGGTGAACAATTATTAACTTCGTAATCCCTGGTAATTTTAAGAATAAGTGAACTGATTTTTTCCAATTTTCAAATGTCTGAACAATTTTAATTTTAATTTTTTTCATTAAAATCGGAGGTTTTACGAAAAAAACTCATGACCTTTTTTGTAGAGTGTAAAATTTACTACAAAATTATGTATTGACTATGGCTTTATGTCCATTTATTGCCGAGTTATGAATTTTTTAAATGCAAAAAGAAAATACAATTTTTTTTATTTTATTAAATTGCCAAATTTTAAGAAAATCTATATGTCAACATGATTCTGGAGAGATCTGGGTTTGCACACCACACCAATATATCCTACACACATTTTGGGTCTTTTTATGTGTTATTATTAGTTTTTGGTTCACAGTTGACACCGTTCAGAATCGAGTTTTAATGTTGAAAATTGTATAGGCTAAAAATAGGCTTTTCGGTTGGTTTAGCTTATTTGATGATGTTATGTTAGCAAGGAAAGAAGCTTTTGTGCAAAAAATAAAATATAGATATTATATTTTTTTTGCAAAATTGGCGAATGCGCTGGGATTAATGCCCATATTCTTACATATCTATTTATATCGCTATTTTCATTGAAATATAAATACAGTTTAAAACACCCTGTGTAAAATTAAAAAAAAATAATTGGTAATTTAAAAAAAAATAGCAAAATAAATTTATATGATAAAAGTTTTCAAAGAAAAAAAAACCTAAAAGCAATTTAAAAAAATTAGCAAAATAAATTAATATGATAAAAGTTTTCAAAGAAAAAAAAACTTAAAAGCACATACCATTTTGTGTTTTTAGCTGAAAAATCACTAACTGGCACAACTGGTCTCTGTAACGACTGTTTTAAAACTGAAAAGCAGTTTTGAGCAGGCCAGCTTCAATTCGATCGGAATTTTATTTTGGGCTTCGCGGTTGTAAAATTATTATTTATTATTTGAATTGTGCTCAACCTGTCGCAGATCTTAATTTTAGATTGGTGTTGCTCAACAGAAGTGGTGCATTTTGCCGAACTAATTTTAAATTTTTCGGAAAAATTCTACACCCACTGTTTGATAGTGATTAATTGCGGTTTGTGCGGCATTTTGGCCAAATTTATAATCATTTAATTGTGAATAGGACACTGATTTACTGGCAGAATGGTAAATTAAAAAAAATGCTTTGGATAGTATTTAAAAACCTATCCACCGTGAAGTGTAATATCTCAGTAAGTTGATTTTTTTTATAAATATTTTATGTATGTACAAATGTATTTAAAAAAAAATATTAATGTTTAAAAAAACATACGAAATCCTAACCTCCGTGAAGCTATCTTCCGTGAAGCTCTAATATTCAAAATGTATGATTTCTTAAAATTCTTGTATTAGTGCAGAACCACTTATGTTATGTTATTACTAGACCTGGTGGCTTCCCAAAAACCCCATTCTAGACTATAGTGAAACAACCGAAAATAAAAAATAATCATTTCAATATATTCACCCAGGTACATTTAAAACTAAATATTTTTTTACAATGTCATTTAGCACGAGTTAACGTGATAAATATTATTAAATTATTATTCTTGCTCACCATGTTTACGATGTTTAAATTGCAGCACCAAATCTATGACTGAGTAATATTATAAAGCTTGATTCATTTTATACTTTTTATCTTATCTGTAAATAAAAATTCCTTAATTTGTGTACAATTGACATTACAAATTAAGGATTGGATAACGTAGCTTAATTTATATTGATAACAAATTTACGTGGAAAGGCCAGAAATTCAAAAACTTGGAATTTACTAGTTTATCAAAAACTATTTCCGTTTTCCGGAAAAAATCATGAAATATGCATAATTTAACCACAGATAAGCAAAATCACCTTTGAAGCAGTGGCGGCTGGTGCATTTTGGGTATACCGATATCTCAATTATTAGATATGGGACCCACACCAAATTTACATGTATATATGCATATATATATATATATGCATATATGAGGTTTTAATGACATTAAATAAACAATTTAAATTGAAGTTTAAGAAAAAACTTTTTGCTCGGCCGTACCGGCCCCATGGCCCCCCAATAAATATAATATAAATTTAATTGGTGCAATTTATTATTTACCATAGTTTATCGACAAATTTTAAATTTCATTTAAAAAATCCAGATTTTATACCATTTTAAATTTTTAATATTTCTTTTCAAAGAAAAAATAAAAATTTTAATTTAATTATATTAAAGCTGTATGATTTGGATTTTTTAAATAAAATAAAAAATATTTAGGTTTTGGTATTTTGATGTCCCCTGCTGTTTTTTGGAGTATTGTGCACGAGGTGTGTTCAGAAAATATCGGGGAATTTTCGTTTTTTGAAACAAATATTTATTTATTCGTCTACATCAATGTTGTCGCCTTCAAAATAGTCCCCATTGGATATTATGCACATGTGCCAGCTCTTCTTCCAATACTCGAAACACTTCTAAAACTCGATCTTTGGGATAGCCTTTAGTTCTTTCAGCGATGCGCTTTTAATGTCATCTATGCTTGCAAAACGACGGCCCTTTAAGGTTCTCTTTATTTTTGGGAATAGGAAAAAGTCAGACAGAGGCATGTCTGGCGAATATGGAGGCTGGGGCATCATTACAGTATTTTTTTTGGCCAAAAATTTTGTTCAAAATTTAACAATTTTAGAAAAAATTTTGCTGCCACGCGTTTCATACCCAAAACATTCGAAAAAATTTCATGGGATGAGCTAATCGATATACCAACATCATCAGCGACTTCTCTGATGGTTTATAACCATTTCTTCCACTTTTTCCATGTTTTTATAGGTTGTTAATGTGCTTGCGCGTTCGGGGCGTTCGTCATCTTCAACGTCTTCACGGCCATCTTGGAAACTTTTATACTACTTGTAAACTCTTGTTTTACTTATAGCATACTCACTCTATGCCTTTGTTAACATTTCACAGAATTTATTTCATTTTTGAAGCAAAATTGGATACAAATTCTAAGATCCATTTCTTTAAACGAACGAAAAATCTCCGAGCTCATAAAACACGTCTAACCTTAGCGGCTACCACAGACAAAGTAAACAATGAAAACAGCTAAAGTTTTTATCATACTTCGGGGGCATGTATACCAACATAATAAACAAAATTTTATGGCAACCGGACCCTCTGAACCCGCGAAATTGAACAAATTTAACACACCTAGTAAATATTTCTGTAACCAAATTAAGAAATTTAGGTTTTATAATTTGGATGATATAACATTTATGGAAACCACTATAAAAACAAAAATGTTTATTTTATAGAGAGTTCCCTGTAGGCTTTAATAAAAATAAGGGTGTGGTGTTTCGAAGCTTACTTAATTACTAAGCCGTTAAAATGTGCTAAAATGTAGCATGCATTTAAAAAGAGTAATAAAAATGCGGCAATACCTAGAAAAAATCTTGGATGACTCACAAGGCTGTTTTAGTTAAATAGATTCATTAATTTAGCAAAGTTAAGTAAAATTTTGTTTTTCGTAAGTTAAATTACATATGTAGGTATTTTAAAATATAAAAATATTTAATAAAAAAAATATATACCCAAAAATAATTTTTTAAGTGATAAACATAAATAATATTATGATTGGTGTTGCCCACTTAAAACACTTTTTTATTATATATATAATATAAATATTCATTTAAATTTCTTACCGTTCCTCTTCTGCAGCAGTTTCCCATTGTCGAAAAAAAATACTTTTAACACCTACAAAACCTTTCAAACACTGTTAATGTTAAACAATCATCAGTTAAAAATACTGAACTCTCTATTGCAATATTGTTACTTATTCGTTTTTAGACCACGTGACTGAAATTTGTTAGTTACTGCTCGAAAATTTGTGGCGGTCTTGAACAATTTCAAAGAAAAGATTAAATTAACGTTGAACTACATCCTTGGATCTCATAATTAAATCCATGATTATTAAGTTAATTTTTATAATGTCAATAGAAAAACAGGTTTTTGCCCAGATTAGATTATATCTGGAAATTAACGAATATATATATAACGTGTTTACCCAAAAAATAATATTTATAAATCCATGGTACTTGTAAAAATTATCTGTAATGCGTTTGTTTTTTTGAACGATTCCAGTACTATTAGATCATAGATATTTTTAATTGTTATCAATGCTTACTTATTTATTGCAGGCCGATTATAACAATAACAGGACCAAAAAACGCGAAATTGATATGCATTAAAGATGACAATTCAGAGGACGAAAAAAGCAATATAAATCACAGAAAAAATATACAGGATGTTGGTGTGAAAAGGGCTCCTTTAAAGCTCACTCGTATGCCGAAGAATTTTAGGTGTCTATCCTTTTTTGAGGATAGCCACGCCATTAACATCATACAGTATAAGTTGGAGTTTAGGAATGCCTGCAAGAACAACCCACTGTACATGAAAACCACCAATCTACAACCCTGGCTACTCATGGGAAAGTATGTAAAATTATATTACCACTAAGTCAATTTTAAAGTATTTTTTACGGTTAACCAAAACGGTTTTATAACGGTATAGATACGAAAAATTAACAAATTTGGGGGATGGTTTATTTCGTTATTTTACCTACATAATAACCTTTTTGATCTACCAAGAGAATAACGTAATAAAAACAATACAAATACCAGAAATTTACGTAAAAATAACGCTATAATTACTCTCTTTCAAAACATTGACATTCTTTAATTTATATTTTACAAAATGGTACTTACAAAGTAATAAAGGCCACTCTAGAGAAAAATTAAATAATTTAACTTAAATTGTCAAAACTAATAATATTTTGCATTAAAACTCAAACGCACATATTTTATTGATAATAATAGACACGATACATCTTAAAAATTATATGCCCTCTAAATATTTTACGGTTTTAAGAAAAATTATTGCTTGGGTAAAAATTCAACAAAACTTTAAACCTACAAAATTTTATAAAATCTTTCCTTATTATATTTTAGAAAAATTTTAGTAATGGATGCCATGTTAAAAAACTCATTATGGCGACCTGAAAAAAATTATCCCTTAAAGTTTTATTTTTCCTTGTTTAGTCAATATTAATAGTATTTATTACCACTAATAACTTTAAAAAATACCAGGCGAATATGAATTATTTACGGTTATAAAGTGGTCTTAATATCGTACAATTATGACTTATGAGTAACATTTACCATTAAGTAAAAATTCTGACGTTAAAATTTCCTTTAGGTGAAATACACTTATAAGTAATTTTCTTTCGTAAAAACTACATCTCTCATAATACTTTAAAGTGTTAAAACTTAAGGGTTAATAAAATAGGTAAAAATAACATAAATAAAACTTATTAAAAATAACTTTAAAAAAAGTTTTACTTCAAGTAAATTTTTAAGGTTAATTTAACAAAATATTTAAACAGTAATTAAAAATATATACAATAAAACACGTCAAAAATGCAATTGACGCTTATAAATTTATATTAGTAATAAATAAAAAACTAATAGCTAAAAATAATATAAAACCATTGTTTTTCCTTAAACCTATAGGTTGCGAGTTTTGTGTGATAATAAAGCCTAAAAGAAATAATTTTAAAAAATATATACTTTCTTCAACTTACTATAGAAGGGTTAACAAAGTTGTAAATAATTACCTAATTATCTACAAATCTTAAAACAGTCCCCATCTATAGGTTTTATCACAGAACAGATGCGTTTTATGAAATATGGTTGTTTTCTGCAGAACTACTTTCTTCTTGGCCTAATGACAGAAATAACTATTATGTTTTAAAATTGATTAATAACCACGAGATAATACTCATGATTATCGGTTAATAAAAAACGTTTATTAATTTTTTTTTAGATTTTCGGACAGTATCCTTGACTACGCAGTACTGGAAGTCGCCAAAGAAATCGAGCTGAACAATATACCTGACCAAGTTTACCAGGAAGAAATGCAAATATAGATTTATATTTTTATAAACATAATGATAATAAAAAATGTATTTTTTCTACTCCCACCTTTGAAACGCCCTTTATCGTACATGTTACCTTTTAAATACACATTGACAAAATACAAAAGTATTAAATAGTCTCTTGATGCCAACATTTGAAATGATTATATGAACGTTTGTAGCGTTACAATTGTTGCGTATAGTGCCCAAAAAACATTCTCTTCTGTTTTACTGTGAAAAACTGCTTCTATATCAATTGTCAGTCTATTTTCACATTTTCATTTACACAGAATTTGAGATTTTAACGCCGGTAGATTCCAAAGTTAGACATTCTAACGGAAATTTATTTGGAAGTTATTTTAATATTTAGTATTGGCACTCAAATGTCGTTTATTAAACTTGATATTACTTACCTTTATTTTCACTAATAATTTTTCTATTTTTAAATAAAACACATCGTTTTAAATCGTTAATGAAATTTATTTATTATAAACGAATTTCCAATCTATCAAGTTCACAAATAAAGTCACAGATAAATAATACTCACATTATTACACAAGTAAACTATAAAATATAAAACCTAAAAACTAATCAGTTACAAAAAATACAAATAAAGTGAATTCTTAGCGCAGTCCGTACGTTTTATACGGACCGTGCTTACAAAGAGATTATAATATTTAAGATAGTGGTGACCAAACATCTGGAGGGTATGAGACGCCCAAAATTTGATGACAGGCCGCGAAAGCTGCCATCTTTTTGGCCACTTTCTTGCTGGAACCTACAAGAACGAAGAAAAAAAAATGCAATTTTCTTACCGTTGTTCATTTGGATTTTAAGGATTTTTGGAAGGGTGTTCGGGAACGTAACCTAAAAAAACAAACGCAACTCACCGCTTCCTTGGAAGACGTGCTCGTCGACTTTGCAGTTGAAGGTGAAGAGCACGTTCGGAGGCGCGCCAGTCTTGCCAACCTCCTCGAACTGCGCGTGCGGCAGCATCTGGTTGAGCAGCATCAGCGGCTGCATTTTGTCCGGGTTGGCGGGCATAACTTTCGACGGGCGGTGCTCGATCTTTTCCCCCTCGACGTTGACGCGCGTGTCCTCGCCCCACGACGTGAAAAGCTTGAACAGCGCGAACGAGGCCACGTGTTGCCACGGCAACGGCGCCTCGGTGCCGTCGGCGTTGGCCTCGTCAACGTCCATCTTTTCCTCGCCGCCCTCCTCCGAGCCCATGCTCGAGATGCGCTTGTGCTTGATCAGGTACTTGATCGCGCTTTCGGCCGCCGAGTTTTTCGCCTGGTTTTTGCCGTTACCTTTATTACAAAAAAAAAATGTTTTTTTGCATATATGTTTTAAACTAAAATCTTACATTGTTACAATTAACAAAAATAAGATTTTGTTTAATTTTTCCTGGTTTTAAAGAATTATAGACTGACCAGCAAAAACATGAATCATTAAAAAGTTTTTTCTCAAAAAAAAAAAAAAAAAATCTCATTTTTTGTCAAAGATACTCTAAAAGAAAGATCCTCACAGTGCTTCTAGCCAAAGAAAAGTACCATCCATACAAAATTAGACTGGTGCAGGAACTTAACGGATGATCCGGACCGTAGACTACAATTTTATGAAACTATGATGAATTTATGTAACATTAATCCACACTTTCCTCGAAAAATACTTTTTTTTCGGACGAAGCTACCTTCTGTTTGAATGGTACAGTCAACCGTCAAAATTGTAGGTACTGGAGCAGAGAAAATCCCCATTGCTAGTATAGGCAAATTCCCAATACCGGTAAGAATTGAATGTCATTTGACGAGAAAATGACAGGACAAACGTATATGGAGTTATTGCAAAATTCTTCTTCCCACATTAGCAGAAATGTTTCCCAATGAGAATGAAAGCCCTGATCTACCAAGTGATGCCATTTGGTTTCAACAGAGAGATCTCTAGATTATCAAAGATCTATCAATAGACCACAATTTAGAAGAATTGTGCGGAATTAAAAAGCAAAATAAAGGAAATTTTTGGGGAAAAAAGGCACATGTTCCATACTTTTGCTGGTCACTGTTTAAAATAGTGTTCGTCTCAATACTATGGCAACTTTTATCGACTAAAAATGGCCGACTCTCTGAGACGCGGCTAAAAGAACTAAACCGTTAGCACGCTCAAAACGAGACGTACTTACGGCGCTCAGTAAACCTAATCTTCCACAGGCGTAACGCTAAACACCGCATCGAAAGCCGCGTGTTCTGCTGACTCCATGTGGAGAAACTGACTTCAAAGAAGACTTGAAACCTCTTCACACAAAAAAAAACACCAAACGCTTTTCAACTTACCCATTCCGACGTGTTCCACCCCGTCGATGACTACAGTGGCCTTGTAGCAAGGCTTGGCCTGTTCGGGCACGTCGTTCACGGTGAAAGTGGGCGAGCGAACGAGCTCGTTTAAAATCATGACGGCGTTTTTGGGCTGCAAGATTTTGCTCAGGCGCATGTTCCTGCGCCTTTGCTTCTCCTTCTTGGAGATCTTGATGCCTTTACGCGCGGCCCAGAATTTTTTCGGGGTTATCTCGCCCTCTCCCTCGGCCGCCGGAGTTTCGGCGGGAGTTTGAGACATCGGTTCGACTTTTGGTTCTGCTATCGGTTGCTGTTGTTGCTGCTGCTGAGGAGGGGGGAACGTTTTTTGTTGTTGCGGTGTTTGGGGCTGAATTTTCGGTGTTTGTGGCTGAATTTTCGGTGTTTGTGGCTGAATTTTTGGTGTTTGTGGTTGAACTTTAGGTTGCTGTTGCTATGGAAGGAAAAATTATTATTCGAAAGTTTTTGGTGATTTTGTTTTTTTGTTCATTTTTCACAAACAGCTCAATTTTTAGGCAGAAAAATAAAGCCAAAAGTTCAAAATGATGAAATATTATCTACCACAGGTTGTAAAACTTTAATTTCATTAAATGAAATTTAGTACTGCTCCATGTGGTAAAACATGTTTCAAAACGCAGTACAGTAGTGTCCGCTTATAACGAACAGCAGGGGACTGTAAAAAAGGGATACTCTAAATGAGCACCATTATGTCTGTTTTAATTTTAAAATTTAACACACTTTTTATAGGACTTTGGTTTGTACTTCTCAAGTTGGTTTGTTTACCCAATGTTCGCCATATCTAGGTTCGAGTTAAACGAACAGTACTGTACAATGTAAAAACATAAAAAAACATTTTTATTTTTACAATCTGGTTCTATATAGAACCAGATTTTCAACGGAGAACGTTGGTTTCAAACACAACACAGTGAAACCAACGTTCTCTGTTGAAAATCTGGTTCTACATGTAAAAATAAAAACGTTATTTTCGCGTCAACTTATTTTCGAAGCAAAACAGGTCTTCCAAAACACGAATGACCTACCTGAGGATTTGGAGTGTTCTGGTTCCTGAAGTTGATGCCAGTTTGCTGCTGCTGCTGGGACGGGGTGACAACCGGTTGTTTCTGGGGCGTGAGCTAATAGAGCAGGGTCAATTTAACCGTCATGATTTTAAATAAACCCCCTTTAGAAGGTTTTGGCACCGCGTATAGGTGCATCTTGGACTCAGGTATTCGCCTCGATTTCATCGGAAAACTGTTTCCGATGAAATTTCGGTATTGAACGCCGTTGAGTCGAAGATATCAGAGCGCATTTTTTATATCTTGACCATTAAACGAAAATCAATCATTTTTCTCAAAAAAAAATTAATCAATTTTGTTGGAAAAATGAAACATGCAATTTCGATGTTCAGAAATTAATCGGCAGCCAAATTGTATTTTGCCGATAATTTCGTGAAATGAATCGAAAATAATAAAATACATAAAGTAGTCAAGATATACATAACTGTTATCCAATTGCCAATCATTAAATACCCTCTATTTTATCACACAAATGTTTTCCCAATTTATATTTCAAATTATTCAGGTTGTTTGCTTTATCAAGTCAACAAAACAAACAATTTGATTAAGTTGAAATACCCATTGGAAAATACACTTTAAATTTTACTCCAATTTTGACAACATTTGGGGACGAATCTCCAAAAATTGTAGCAAACTCGAAAATAACTCATTCTTCGGTATTCAATAATTATCAACCAGAGAACACATTAAAAAAAATTTGGCCTATAACAGTACCAGTACCTAGGCTCTGTAAAGCAATGCCCGATGACGACACCTAATTATTAAAAATAAATTAGTTATTTTGTCCATTAATTTATCATACTTTCAACCATTGGAATTCTAACATTTTGGTTATAAGATGAAATCAAAGAAAAACTAGGGCTGGATCAAAAATTGCAATAAAATACGAACATGTTTGTCATATTTAACAAAAATGTTAGAAACATTAGCCCAGTTAGTTCTCCAAAACGAAAAACAGTTATTTAGGTACTGTTAAATGTGACGCAATCAATAATTTAGGACGCCATTACTAAATTTTAATATTTCAATAAAATATACTTTCTGGTAGTTAAAAACACGAAATTACTTCAATTTTGACATTTTAACCTAAATAACAACTTAAATAAACAATAATGTGTATTACCTGACCCCCAGGAGTAAAATTATTCTGTATCGGTCTCCTCTGGCCAATGCCGGCCATGTTATTCGGCGTATTATCTGTAAAAAAACATTATAATGTAGAAATAACATCACAAAAACAACAATAAACAACTTACTCATTCTTCTGGTATTGTACGACATTTTAATTCAAGCACCAAGCAAGATTAACGCACTTTTATCGAAAATGGCGAGGGCCTTACAACGAAGATAAGACGGGAAATGAAGGATTCCGGCGTTGCGGAAATGAGGTTGGGCTTCGCAACGTTGCCAAGTCTGATGCGTTTAAATATCCGAAATTTATTTATTAATTACTGCATATATCATAAAATAAACACAATAAAATGTTTATGTATGTTATTTTTATCAATTCTGGTTAATATGGTGCAATGTAGTTGGTTAAATAAATATTTATTCGCTGATATTTTGGAGACTTGTCAACAGAGGTTTCATTGCGGATAAATTAGTCAAAATAGAGTGAAAAAGTTTTAAAATATTGTATAAAATTGCGTCTTATACGTATAACAATATATTTTTTAGTGTTATATTGTAGGATTTTGTATTAATTATTAATAATAGTGAATTTATTATAATATTCTTCAACCGTCAAATGACTAACGTAGTGTGGCGCCAAATTCAAAACATTTCATAAAATTGATTAATTCGTGCTTACTTTGTGATAAAAATAAAAAATTAAGCTCTTCCACATGCGTTAAATAATCCATTTTATCTCACACAAAGTAAATCGCTGACTTTCGGTATAAAAACACGAATGCAATTGCAGGTGCATAAAACCTAACCTACAACAATCCTGTAAAGACATGAAAATGCGTAAATAAAGAATATTCGAGCGACTAAACATTGAAAATGACTTTTATAAATAAATTAAGATGTGGTATATGGCTTTTATACGATTTATAAGGCGGAGGATCATCTTAGCGTTAATTCTTTTAGTTTCCCTTAGTTATTGTGTTGTTAGCTATCTGCAAAAGGTAAATAAACATATTTTTGTTGTTTTTTGGTTTAAATGCGGGTTTTTCAGAATGATTTTCTGGATGGTGATGAAGTCGAGCCTATTAGGAGGACGCAACCGTTCATTTGGAGGACTTTACAACAACATAACTCAACAAATGAGGCCGAAGTTTACTGTAGGAATTCCATACAGGGAAAAGTGCTTATAGTCGACGATAGGGGTGAGTGTTGGTGTTTTGGGTGTTTTATGGTTACTTTATGGTCTTTTTAGGGTTTGTGTGCCCCAGGCAGGAAGTGTTGTTGAATGGTTGTTGCAATGATGTTTCTAACACCGTCAACCAATATTCCTGCGAAACTTGCAAGAGTAACAATTGTTGTGCAATTTATGAGTATTGTATATCATGCTGTCTTCATCCTGACAAAGTGAGTGGAAAAATTAATGTTAATTCTGCATAACTGAGGTTTTTTTTAGAGGGACGTTCTTGAGTCGGTTCTGGGCAAGGCTGAGCAGACAAACGTTTTGTTTGCGTCTGTGGCCGATCATTTCGAGTTGTGTTTGGCAAAATGTCGCACGAATTCGCAAAGCGTTCAGCACGAAAACTCCTATAAAGACCCGAGAGCAAAGCACTGCTACGGGGAGCTCAGCCCTGGGAGTAGTGTGGAGGGGGAGGTTTGATTTACCAAAAATTTATTTTAATAGTCAAGGTAGGTTTATATTTTATTTTATAAATAATTGCAATGTTGAATTTATTTAAATCCTACTACAATTGGGTTGGGTTAAATTTAAATACTTTTTATGTATTTTGATCTTTTGACTACCTACTTAATGATTGTGTTTTTTTATTTATAATTTTAAAAATTACAAACATATATGAATTTATTTAAAAATATATTATTTTATTTTATTACATAGGTATTTTATTACGAAATTTATTTTCAGTATTATTAATAGATTTGGTTATATTTTATTATATAATGGGTACTAATTTAGTTGTGATATGTCATTTTATGTATTAATTTTATCTACTTGAATATGAAGTTGTTAAAACTATAAAAATACGAGAAAAAAATAAAAATCAAACTTTTTCAACATGTTTTTCATTTGGATTGATTCCAAAGTGTATTTCATCCCCTTTTTGATACGCCCAGGCCATTCTGTTACTGTTAAATCCTATTCCTACTTCTCCTGCCTTTGATAAAGTAATTGCTCCTAAAAAAAATAATAAAAAAAATAAAATAATTGCGAAAAAGTACAAATTATTACCGGCCGAATTATTTAATCGCGCCTTCATTTTGCACAGGCTTTCATGCGTGGCTTGCTCGGCATTTCTACCCGATTCCATGGATTTTATTATGGCATGAGCCAGGCAGAATCTCGCTATGGTCTCCCCGTGCCCTGAAAAAAACGAAATCTGAGTTCGGTGTCCCCCAAGGTTCAAAACCGGGACCGCAAACGTTGAACGTCCGAATTAACGACTTACCGGTGGTTGAAACCGCTCCCAAGTCGTCGTCGGCGTACGTGCCGCTCCCTATAACCGAGGTGTCGCTACTTCTGCCCACCATTTTGCCGTTCAGCCCCCCCGTCGACGTCCCCGCCGCCAAACGGCCTTGAGAGTCGATGGCAACAGCGCCCACCGTGCCAACTTCACCCGTGTTCTAAAAAATCACAGTATTTTGGAAAACGCTTTAGTAATCAGAGATAATAAAGAAGGTTGTTAGTAATTCTAGGATCTCAATCAGTAAGTCATTTGGTAAACTTTTGCTTAAAACATGTTTTCCAATTCCAAAATTATCAAACAATACAGTTAATACAGGGCTGGATGCTCCCGTGTACGAGTTTTGGTTCGTGCCGCGCATGACGTCATTTGATGATTAGTTGCCGAATACACGAATAATAGTAATATTATGAAAGAAAATAGAGAAATATCTGGACATATTAATATTAAAGAAAGTGTTATAATATGAATAATAGATGCTTTCAGTCCTTGATAACATTTAGGGCTGTTGTTTAAGCGGCCTTAACGTTAATATTGTCTATTCTTTTTGTGGCATTTAACCACTGTTTGCACAAATCAAAGTTTTTCGGGAATCGATGAAATTTATTGTTTTTATTTAAAGGGTTTTTCTTGGACTGGTTGTCCGAATTGCATCCAAATATGCCACACCGCATTTTAATAAATGCAAATGGCACGATACAAACTAAAACAAAAACAAAACAAGTTAACGCAACATAAAAACAATAATAACCAAACAGAACAGGTTAACCAACGCAATAACAATAATTTGAACACTGAAACGTAATTCGAACCTTACCGAACGCAAAAACAAGTTAAACAAAAAAATAGAGCAAGTTAACATCCAACAGCATCGCAAAAACAAGAATTTTGGCAGCAGATAATTAAAACGCACGTTAATGATTTAAAAATACTCATCAAGTGACGTATTTAAGCCCCGCCCAACATGCGCACCATCCTATCTCAAGGTGTATGTATCTTGCAGTTAATATAACAATTTGAATGCTATTTGACGTTGCAAATTGGTTAAATTGATTAGTTATAAATGTAATTGTGGTTATGTTTAAATTATTGTAGGTTACATTGAACGGTTGTCAAGTTGAGTTGTCAAAATTCGTACTTAAAAATGCAATTAATTTGGCTTTGGTGGTGCGTGAAAAAAAATTCTTGATCTGCTTAGCTGATAATAACAATAAAAAAACACAAGTCAAAATAAAAAAAATGAACTGAATTCTACTGAAAGTGACAAACCTAACCTCAATTCTACTGAAAGTGACAGATACCCAACCTCAATTTTACGACGCAATGTTGCCGAATTTACATTTTTTGTTCCAAATGACTTACTGAAATTACTAAAGCTTTGTCGCTTATATTACTTTTTCCCCTATTTCGGTCCTAACATAACCGGTTTTTTTGAACTGATCTAGGGCTTGCTGTGCGGACTTCGTCACCAAACTGCCTGGTGGCACGGTTGGCACTCCTTGTTCTGTGGCGAATTTGTTGGCACCCGCGCCAGCCAACGTGAAATGCGGAGTTTTCTCCATCACCAGTCTCGCCAAACTGAAAAAATAAAATGTAGAGTAAAGACTGTTTGGTCCAAGGCGTTACCTTATAGGATGTTCTATGTCTCTTACAATTGTCACACCACCAGACATTAAAGTTTCACCAAGCATTATGCTTGCGTCCATTTCCACGTCGCCGTCAAGATTCAAAACCGATCCAAAACCTGAAAGGAACATTTTAGTTTTTCCTTTTAAATCTTTTAGGTCTCCATACGCTAAAAAAGTATCGGGTTTTCGCAATATACATCATTTTTAAATAAATAGGTAGTTTTTTCACAAAAGAGAAGGCAAAAGTCTTACTCGACAAATATAGTTACGTTAGTGTGTGTATTTTATCAAAGGGATCATGGTGAATTATTGTGTTTTTAATTGTAAATTAAATTCAAGAACTAAATCGTTGCATTTTCATGTTTTGCCAAAGGATCCAATTCGGTAAGTACCTACCTTTGTAGGTGCAGAATTAACTTATGATAACTTTACCTAATATAATTTATATTTAAGTTTGGACATTTTTAAGAAATTAGTAAAAAATAATGTTTGCACTAACATAACCTTGAAATCTGAATTGAAAACTTTTCACGTAAATCACTACTAAAATGTGTATTTATTGTTTCTCATAGGTACAATTTATATTTACAGACCGTATGCAATTTATTTCTTCATTCAGATTAACACTGTTTATTGGAAAACCGGTAAAAACTCAACCCAGGATTTCCTCTCGAAATACACCCAACAACACAACAAATCGATATTTTTTAACATTTTCTGGCTTTATTCTCAAAAACACTCGTTTGTAACATAAGCGTTTGACAGCTGATATAGAGAAGTTAATAAAGAATGTCAAAAATACGTTTTAAAATGTCATTTTACCTGCGTTAAAGGCTTCATCGTCCTCCATGGACTTCACGGCAGCCTCGACGGCGTCCAGCACGGAGCCTCCATTTTTCAGGACTTCGTAACCTATTTTGGCCGATTTTTTTACCCCCACTATTTTAGGCTCGACATTGCAATCGGGTATATCACCGGCACCTCCATGCACTAGAACTATAGGCTCCATGATGCAACTGAAAAAAAATTCACCTTAGGGCATACCCCACAGTAAATGGTTGGAATGGTTTTAGCTTACTTTTTGACTTATTACAAATTGTCATTGGGACTTACCTGTTAAAACTTAGGGTATGATAACAAAATAAAGGAAACTCAATAAAGATAACAAAAACGATTTAC